CCCCCAGGAGCAAGAGGTAGGAAAACATGAGACTAATATTTTGTGCGGTAGTTATAGTTTCCTTTTTGTTTATGTACTCAGTGAACGCACTTTGTAACATGAATCTTTCGGATGCAAGGACCAGAGAAAGAACTCCAGTTGTCTAAACCTACGTGGAATTGTCTTGGATAACAGAGAGTTCCAGAAGTAGGAATGACTTCAGATGAGATAGGATCCTGAGGCCCAGATGTCCTTAGGCTCTCTCTCTCTCTGATTCTTTCACCTTTGTCCTCCTCTGAGAGTTGACTTCTTCCTTAGGCTGACTCTTCTCAGGGTAGTCACAGAGATGGAGCAGTTCTAGTTAGTTCTAGGTTTCTTACCCTCTCACTACATTGTCCAGGGGAAGGGAGAACATCTCTCCTGGTCACTCGTGAAAGCCTCACAGATTTAGCTGCATCTCCTTTGATGAGCTGGGTTAGGTTCCCATTACTGCCCCAGTGGGGGTATGCTGACTGATGTGAGGTATTGGATTTCAAACCTGGCACCCCTTCAAAGGATTCTGATTTCATCAGCCTGGGAGATGGATCTCGTGCATTGGTATTTTAAAAATGCTCCCTGGATGATTCTAATATACAGCCAAAGTTGAGTGTACTACTGAGGAATAAGGTAAGAAAAAGAAGATGGGAAAGCAAACTTTTCATTTTCATTTTAGACCCTTCTGTTCTTTTAGGGCTTTTACTTCCATGTGATTATATTATTTTTATAACTAAAAATAAGTTGATCACTTTTGAAGTTGTTCCTAAGAGTTTAAGATGACTTAAAATATATATAGCCTCTTGTTAGAGTACATTTCTCTATATGCATACATCACCTTTTTTAGCAAGAAATGTCAAGTACTTTTAAACTGTCCCATTCATCCACAACCTCACAGTAATAGAGTCCTTTGTTCTCCTGTCTTCTTGTTGCCTCAGCCTTCTTATCTGGCCCGAATCTGGTGGGCCAACAAACAGAGAGGAGAAGCACCTCAGGAATATGCTCTACGTGCCCTCAGTAACACACTTTCAATCACATGTCTTTCACTTGGACTCGGCTCTCAAGTACCTTATGCAACCAATTCTTTCTTCCTTCCTTTTGGGGGGGGGCAGGGGAGGGGTAGAGGGAGAGGGATAAAGAGAATCTCAAACAGACTCCCTGCTGAGCATGGAGCCCGATGTGGGGCTCCCTCTCACGACCCTGAGATCATGACCTGAACCAAAATCAAGAATTGGAGGCTTAACTGACTGAGCCACACAGCCGCCCCCTGCATTATTTCTTTTATTACACCTTTGCTAATTGACTTATTGTCAAAGTTTCAGGCCACTGTATCAAGACGAGCACAATGTATTACATCAGGATTTAGCAAAAGACAAACAAAAGATAATTTTAGAAAATAAGACCAACTTTTGATGTCTAGTGGGTTTGAATTTCAACTCACTTGTGAAGAGTAATTGCTCTTTGTTATTTTTTTTTAATTATTTATTTATTTTAGAGAGGGAGGAGGGGGAGAGGGAGAGAGAGAATCCCAAGTAGATTCTGGGCAGAGCACATAGCCCAGTGTGGGGCTCAATCCCAGGACCCCGAGATCACGACCTGAGCTGAAACCAAGAGCGGGACACTCAAATGACTGCTCCACCCAGGCACCCCTGGTCTCTGTTATTTTAAAATTATTTGTCTAAAAACAAAGTGTGACGACTTAAAAATTGTAGGACACCACAAGACTTGCTTTTCTCCAAGTATCAGGGAATAGGTGAGTTAGTTTGTTTAGCTGTGAGTAAGATTTTGTACATCACCGTTTCTCATTTGTTGCATTCAGATTCTGTTCTTTGGGGTCATCTTAAAGACAAATTCAAATTCCCTCCTCATTTATTTTATCAAAAGCCAATTCTTAGTTAAAACCCTACCCATGCTTCTACTGGTTTTAGAGCTTTACATTCTGCGCAAAACTTCCAGATACTTTCATATGTGATGATTATCCATGACCATTCTGTCAAAAGACGACAGTAATAATCCAGATATATGAAGCGCATGGTTTCATCCCGTTAATCTTAACAAGCACTTCCCGTGCACAAGTCAGTTGATGCATCATGTGGGGATCCGTCCATAGCAGATTTTTCCATGTCATAGTATTGCTTCTCCATCAAGCGCTTTTATTAGAATAACAGATACTGAAAGAGAACGAATTTGTAGGACATGCAGTGTTGGAATTTAAGAATAGCAAAATAGCTGATAGGTGGGCAGCAAGAAGAGAAAAGTTAAAAAAAAAAAAAGGTCTGAAGCTTGGACGACCCAGTGAGGCTGGGGCTCTGAAAGGATAGGATTTGGCTACTTTGAGCTGAGGGAACAAGTTCTGGGGCATCAGCCAGAACTGGCCATCAGCCAGTCAGAAGAAGCCAAGAAAGCGGCTCAGAGACCTTGAATCACAAGTTAATGAAGCCACCTAGTGGTTTGTTACATGATTTAAGGTTGTGTGAAGACAGAAGGCAAAACTCATCTGCGGATTTTTTGATTGTGTGGGTTTCTTGAATCAAGTGTTTCTAAAAGCCCGATCACTTTCCATTTAAGGAGGACCCGTTTCATTGAGAATCAGCGCCACGCTGCTCTGTGTAATATTTTATTTATTTACAATCTTCTTTTTAGCAAAAAGGACCGAAGCAATTCACATGAAAAGACAGTGAGAGAGCACAAGACAGAAGATGAGAAGAGAAAAAGCATGAATAAAGACATAAAAAGTAGCTTGAATTTTTGGTCATTCAAAAATACTTACGAAATCCTATCAATTTTCCGTGAAAGGACTCTGTATTTTCATTTGGTGGAAACTGATCAGTTACAAATAATGTCCAGAATGATGCAACAGTTTTCAGGAAAAGTGAAACCATATCTGATGCTAAGAGCTGAGCACTTTTTCTTCTGGAGATCCTTCCAAATGAGATACTTCCCTCAATCCTCATGATAGAAACCATCCTGAGTCTTGGAAGATTGTTTCTTAATCGTGTCTACCCTGACTTGGAGGAGAATGTGCATCAAGCGCCCCTTTCAGGGCTTGCATGAGCACACGTGATCCTCAGAATAAGCCTCTGAGGTTGGTAGCACTTGTGTCCCCCTGCTGCACAAGAGGCCATGAGACACAGTTATGAACTTGCCCAAAGCCAGGCTGTTAAGAAATAATGGAGCCCGGACCCAGACCCGGGGCCCAGACCCGGGGCCCCAACCCGGGACCCCGACCCGGGCAGTATGGTTCTAGCCGCTGTGTTCTTTTCCAAGATGCTACGCCCTGAATGGCCAGTGTGGTACAATAAGGCCCATCCAATGAGAACAACAATACTTGAGGTTTCCCCCCAACTTACACACTCTGTAGGGGATTATATATATCACGCACTTTAACACAGTGCTAAAGATGAGGGCAAGGTTGCATATTTCCAAGATGAGTCCTTTAACTCTGCTTTCTTCTAGGGCACAGGCCTTATCGCTGACCCCAGTCACCACACACTCGTGCCCACACATGTACACACGCGTCTTAGGTTCAAAAACCGAAAAAAGAAACAAAAAGAACAACCCACAGAAGACCAGGAAACAGTACTCAAATTCCCCACTTTCTGACTTCTAAAAAATGGCTGAAATCCTATGCCCTTTTGATGGCCTCTCCTTAGATACGAGACCTAAAACGCAGTTGTAACAAAACCCCCTTTATTTTGCTGGTTTTTTGTTTTCAAAGTGGAATCTATAATTATTTGTGAATGGCAGCTAAATTGGTTTCTCTTAGCCAGTCATGAAAGTTGATTAGCAATGAGCAAGGCCAGCCTCGACAGGAACTATAGGGAAATAGTGTCATCATTGAAAGAAATGCGGTTAGAGAAGTCAGAGTATCACATACTTGGGTCTTAAATTGAGCATTAAGAATAGTTGTGTGGTTAATGTTTTTGCTGAAAGGAAAAGGTATTCTCCATAAAATGACTGTTCTGTGTAGATAAGGCTTCTTAACAATAAATGTCCATGACATTTAAAAGAAACACTTCGCTTAATAAAGATGCTTTTTTTTTTTTTAAGATTTTGTTTATTTATTTGACAGAGAGAGAGACACGGCGAGAGAGGGAACACAAGCAGGGGGAGTTGGGGAGGAAGAAGCAGGCTTCCCGTGGAGCAGGGAGCCCGACTTGGAGCTCGATCCCAGGACCCTGGGATCATGACCTGAGCCGAAGGCAGATGCTTAACCACTGAGCCACCCAGGTGCCCCAGCTTAATAGATTCTAACGCTCCTGAAAGATTCAAGTTCTGTTTGGGGACCAATGTGATGGCCTACTGCCCATAAGATTGAAATTTTCAGAATGATAGCTTTTTAATAGTTCTGAAGAATGCCTGAAAGATTCGCCCTATCATGGAACAGAAGTGAAAGAGAGTGATGATGAGATATGGTGAAGAAAATGTTGGCTGGGAATCCAGAAACTTGGGATTCCCAGGTCTACTTCACTCTGATAATAAAGGAAGAAGAAATAAATTCTTGGTGTGTGTCGTTTTTCTCATGGACTTTGGACTCAGACCTGGATTCAAATACCAATTCTGGTACCAATTAGCTGCATGGTATTGGATTCCCCAGTTAACGTCTTTGGGCCTCGGTTTCTCAAGGGATAAAATGGCTTTGGTAATACATGGGTTTTATTAGGGGCTCACTGCATGCAGGTGTTGTGCTCCTATATACTTTTAATCTTAATAACGGTCTGGAATGAAGTCGTCACTGTTATCCCCACTTTACAGGTAAGAGCACTGAGACTGAAACCAGGAGTGGGGAGAGTTTAACGAATGCCCCGAAACTGGTAGCCGACGGATTCCTATGGACTCCTCCTCACCCGTGCCCTCCTCTCTTTCCAGACAGGTTTTGAAGCCTGGTGAAGAGGAGACCCACATGTTTCACTTAGCTTCCGTTTGGGAATTAGGTAGCAGTGGAGGCCGAGGGGTAAAAATAAAGCTGCATTTTCATTTTCCTACAGGAGTGGCAAAAACTCAACTACGATATCTACACCCTGCGGCAGATTCGGAGGGAAGTGAGAAATAGATGGAAACGCATTTTAGAGGATTTAGGTGAGTCTGAAAGTGATCATGGAATGGTGCAAATCACCAGTGGTGATCATTCTTCCCTGTCTTCTGCTTGCGTTGCGTAAAAGGCACGTCGGTGGCTGACTGATGGGAGCTGGCGCCTACTAATTACGGCCCCAAGCCTGTCCTCCTTGTATCCTCCAGCATAAACATCTGATATTTCTGTTACCACCAGCCCGTGTCTTGAGGACAAATTTTGCCATGTGCTCCTGCATCTGTCCTCAGTGTGGAGTATCCCAGGGCAGGGGAAGCAGGTGGGCACTACCACGGAATGTTTTGGGCAGTGTACTTCATGGATTGAACTAGATGAGCGTGATTGGCCAGTTAGGAGCCGCTGTCTAAGAAGAGGCAGGTTGGAGGAAATACTGTTTGTAAGAGAGACAGCGAAACTCGGTGTAGACTCTCAGAAGGAATAAAAGGTAGGGAAGCTTCCAAGTTGGGACATAACCTGTGGCATGGATATTGGGGATTGGTTTTTCTTAAGTCGGCTAGGGTCGTGCTGCAATAAACACGGCCCCTCATGTTGTAAAATGACCTCGTTTTAGTATTTAAAGCGTGAGCATCTCGAGTTTGAAGTCCTCCATCCTTCTGCCTTGAAAGAGAACAGGACACCTTGGCATCATACCTTTTCACACGGGGTGTACCTGGTTGCTATCGCCAGCCTCCATTGCTTTAGTTGGGATACAGTGAGGTGAGATGGACCCCTGCCCTCTTTACTCACCATTATTGTGACCTAATTGTCTCCTTTTATAATGTGAGTTACCCCAGGCAGGTGTAAATCTCTGAGTCTTTCGTATTTTGGGGTGAGTAATTTTAACCAGACAATTGCCTCAGGGAAGGGCATCTGGGCTTGGAGACATAGAAGCCTGGAGACAACCACTTTGCGGGTCCCAAACTGCAAAGGCAGGTAGGGGAAGAGTAAGGAGTGGGAGGAGGATTTCAGTGCCAAAAAAAAAAAGTGGGGGGGCAGCAAGCTGTCAGTGCATGAGGATCTGAGGCTTAACTTGGAAGGGAAGTTAACGAAGAAAATTAAATGAGAAGAAATCTCAAAGGAGCTTTAATTAAAGACCCTATCAGTCACACTGACCTGGGAGGGAGCCCATGGAATGGTGCCTTGGCTCCTGATATTTGTTTGGAGTCCACATCTGGGTGCCTTCTTAATCCCCTGTAGGACGGCCATTTCCTGTGACTACTGTATTTACATGAGGGGTAAAGTTTTTGTCCCCGTAGGTTTTCAAAAGGAAGCCGACTCTTTGTTGTCAGTGACGAAACTCAGCACCATCAGTGATTCTAAAAACACAAGGAAAGCTCGGGAGATATTGTTAAAACTGGCTGAAGAAACCAATATTTTTCCAACAAGCTGGGAGCTCTCGGAGAGATACCTCTTTGTCGTGGTAAGTGGATGTATTTTTTTTTTTTTTTAAGGATTTTATTTATTTATTAGAGACAGAGCATGAGCAGGGGAGGAGCAGAGCCAGAGGGAGATAGAGGGAGAAGCAGATTCCCCGCTGAGCAAGGAGCCCAATGTGGGGCTCGAACTCAGGACCCCGGGATCATGACCTGAGCCGAAGGCAGACACCTAACCGACTGAGCCACCCAGGCGCCCCAGTGGATATATTTTTTTACATGCCCTCATTTTGCTTTAAATTTTTCTTTTCTGTTATTCCAAATACTCATCATTCCAGCACCACCAGCAACACCACAGCTCGAGGTGGTATCTTATACGCTGGTTTCCGGGGGCCGGCAGCATCAGAACCACCTGAAGGGCTTTAAATACTCAGATTTCTGGATTGCACTCAGCCCTATTGAGGCTCGGATCGTGGCTCAAGAATCTGTACTTTTCAGCCACTTCTGCTCTGCGGTCAGATTTTTGAACCATTTGTAGGTCAAAGAGCTGTGAGAAACATTGTGTATATAACCTAAGATTAAAAAAGCATTTGAAGGAACTCTAAGAGTGCGGAACATTTCTTGGATAATGTACACAAAGGGTTAAGGGGCATCTCTAAATTTGTTGAGAAAAATTGAAGAAATGTTTTACTTGCTCGTGATTATTTCTAGGGCGGGATTGTTACTGGATTGGTTTTCCCATCGACGTGGTTGAGTTCCCATCTTGACATTTGTATGTTTAAACGTTTGGCAGGATCGTCTCATTGCTCTTGATGCAGCAGAAGAGTTCCTTAAAATTGCTAGCCGAACTTACCCCAAGAAGCCTGGAGTCTCAAGCCTACCAGATGGCCAGAAAGAACTGCACTACCTTCCATTTCCAAGTCCGTAAAGGAGAGTCAAGGAGGCAGAATTGGGATTCCCCTCTACTGGTACTCAACAGCCAACCCAAGTTGGACAAATGCATATAGAAGACAGTAAGCAAGTGGAGGGTTAGCTAAGTGAAAAATGGTTCTAAATCCTATAAAAACTAAGGGTTTGGAATATTTGGTCTTCAAGAGGATGTCACTGTAAGGAGTATTCAGGTTGCGTTGAGATACACTGGTGATCTTGTATCAGGGAGTTGGCCGGTGGGATCTTTCCTCCTGGCTGATTATATTTCAAGAACCCACTGTCCCCACTTTGGTTTTGGTTGTGCAATAAGCCTATTGGGAGAATGGGATGTTCTAGGTGAGAAAACAGTAAGATTGATAGAGCTATCATTGAGCCCAAATATGGATTACTGAATTTTAAATAATCGTTATATAATATAGGCTAATGCCAAAATAATACCAGGCATTATATGACCTTTCTTTGATTTGGAGGATCCTTCAGAACCTTGCAGGTGTCAGAGGCATCATCTTGAGTATAAGTCATGATTATTCAGAGGTTCCGATGTAGCAGATAATAGAAATATCTAACAGTGCTGCCCAGAAGGGACTTCCAAACAGATCGATCCCAGGCAGAACTCCTTGCAGTGCCATGTCAAAAAGCTCCATCTTCAGTGGTGGGACTTGCATCTTAAATTCTCAACATTATCAATACCTGGTTACCTTATTTTGATGTCTCATCCATTTCTAGACCACAAGCCCTTGCTATGTTATCTGGGATAGCATCTATCAACTGAAACGTTTGGCCTTCACTTCTTTCTCTTCTCTTTAATCTGCTACTGGCTTTAGTGGCTGAGAGTCGCCCCTGCCCAGCGACCCGCAGCGCAGACTTGCAGCTCTGCGTGTGCGGGCGGTGTTGCAAGGAAGGTCATTGCTGGACTCTCTTCCCGTTCGGAGGAGGATTTTCAAGATGGAACAATGCTGCCAGTACGGCTTGCTTCTCTCTCCACAGACTGCGAAGTCCAGCCTCGGAAGTTACTTGCCACTTAAGCAAGGAGCTTGCAGGAAATAAATCATGGTTCACATTACTGAATAGACTTTCAGAAGCTGTCAGATGTATGGGTAGATTGCTGAGAACACTGGCAATATTTTTACTCCTACAGACTTTGCTCTTCTGAGTTCAGGTAAAAGGTAACTTGTCTTTAGTTTGTCCAGGGGATTGTGACTTGAAAACTTGCTGACCGGCTCTTTTGATAGTGTACACAAGGTTTGAAATATTTCTTAGAGGAGATACATGTTCTCCATTTCTTAATGCATTGCAGACCAATTTAACTGACATGTTTCAGGAAGATTCTTTCTAGTATAGTAAGTAAGTTAAAAGTTTTATTTTTTATATTTAACGCTTAACCTCTCTCTCATGTTGTTTAAAATTAGCCTGCAGACAATTTCCCTCACTTCTGTAGGCTCTTGTGAGATAAACGTACAAAAAGTGAAACAAATAAAAACAAAACATACAAAAAATAAGCAATAAATCTTTGAAATCATATTGTTTTCATGTCTGTCCTTGGAATTCGTGTCTTGTCTTTCTGCTTTTTTTTTTATGAGATTGTTTGCGTCTTTGTAGAATAAATTGTAAACATTGTCTTTATTTTTGGTAATGTTTGAGTAAGGATAAGAATGTCTCTGTGATTATAAGACACATGGGAATATCCAGGAATTTTTCCTTGCAGGGAATTAAAAAGTTTCTCTATTTACTTTTCAGTTGAATGTGTGTGATATTTCCAAGAAATAAGAAGGAAGAGGTCATTCTTTCCATAGTCCCTTTAAAGTAAAGGGTAAAGAAGCTGATAGGCAAATGGGTTTAAGGACCTCCCGCTTGTCCTCAAGCCATTCAAAGGGCAGATCTGTGCTCAAGTCCAGGGGACACTGCAGTACCTGACAGACTCAAGGGTGACTGCAGGGACCACTCCAGAACTCACACAGTGTTCAGCAGGACCTGGATCCACAGATGTGCAGGGGCTGGAGGGTTTTCCTACTTTCTAAATGTCTCCCTCTTGACCACTGTAGTATTTCTCAAAGGTTCATTCGTATATACAGGGTGATTTCAGATGGTAGAGACGAATGGAAATTTCCATATTAAAAGTTACTTATTTTAGGGCGCCTGGGTGGCTCAGTTGGTTAAGCGACTGCCTTCGGCTCAGGTCATGATCCTGGAGTTCTGGGATCGAGTCCCACATCGGGCTCCCTGCTCAGCAGGGAGTCTGCTTCTTCCTCTGACCCTCTTCCCTCTCGTGCTCTCTATCTCTCATTCTCTCTCTCTCAAATAAATAAATAAAATCTTAAAAAAAAAATTACTTATTTTAATGTTCACCAGGGGGAAAACCCTATAATTTGCTGATTTCCTGTTTCATGGATATTATTGCAGTAAACAATCAAGTATTCATGTTTTCTTAAAGGGGGCACCCAGGAAGGCACAGTGGACACGCTGACCAAGGTGACCAGGAATGCATTGTGGAGGGGGCAGCCACATCACTGAGAAGCTCAGTGATAAGGCCTGTGGTCCAGATGCTGTTCCAGAAGTGTGCTCACTAATAGCAATGGGGATGGAAGAATAGGGGCCCAGGGGCAGTGCTTCACTGCCAGAAGCAAAGTGGGCACAAGGATCATAATGAGTGGCCGGTCTGAGGGTACCTGCAGAGAGAGTTGGAGATGGTTAATAGAACACAGCATCCCTAGGGCGCCTGGGTGGCTCAGTTGGTTAAGCAACTGCCTTCGGCTCAGGTCATGATCCTGGAGTCCCGGGATCAAGTTCCGCATCGGGCTCCCTGCTCGGCAGGGAGTCTGCTTCTCCCTCTCCCGCTCTCCCCTCTTGTGCTCTTTCTCTCTCTCACTCTCTCTCTCAAATAAATAAATAAAATCTTTAAAAAAAAAAAAAAAAAGAACACAGCATCCCTAGAGGCAGAATGGAGGGGTAACCAATAAGAATATCGCTCAAGCTGTACCAGCGAAAGATCTCAAAGATGGATGACCAGGAGATAGGGTACAGCCACCCTAACAGAAAGTTATGATCTCTTGCCAAGTTTCCAGACCTTGGCTATTTTCCAGACCCAAAAACTACTTACTGAAGGACAGTCTAGATCCCCAAGAGGAGGTCTTTGCAACACCGCTGCAAGTATATATGGCAAAGACTCCCCTAGTTCTTCCTCAAAACAACCTGTGGTTATTCACCTGAATAACTGTACACTGGGGAAAAGAGTGTGCAAACACACTCTGAGGATGTGGGACACAACGTCCAAGTTGACACTGATGCTCAAGGACAAGAGTATCATGATAGTGTGCCTTTGAGAATGGAGGCCTTTGGGATTTATGGAGTCCTATCCCAGGTCTAAATCACAGTAGGTCCATTGAGTCCATGGATCTATCCAATGGTCATCTCCCCATTTCCAGAATAAATTATTGGGCTGAGTGTATTTGGGACTTGGCAGGCCCATCATTCATTTCTTGGCCTGTGAGTTAAAAACTGTCCTAGTGGGAGAGCTTAGTGGAAAACTCTAAAACTCTTCCAGCCCCCGACCGTGATAGGAAACCAAAATCAACATTGCATCCCAGGGAAGTGGCAGAGATTAGTGCTACCCTTAAAGACCTAAAGGTTACAGGAGTGTTGGTCTTGACCACAGTTCCATTCAATTCACCACGCTGACCCCTGTGAGAACTAGATGGATGGCAGAGAATGAAAGTGGATTATTGAAAACTCAACCAAGTGGGAGCCTTAATTGAAGCTGCTGAGCTGGATGGAGAATCTTTGTGAGAACAAATTAGCACAGACTCAGCTACGTGGAATGTGGCTATTGATCTGGTAAATATGTTCTTTCCATACTCATCAGAAAGGCAGACCAGGAAAACTCCATAGGTGTTTGCTGATAATTTCTTGTATGTCAATCTCCATTTCAAAATCTTTCCCCAGGGAACTCGATTGTGACACACTGTGGGAGCCAAAAATATAAAATACCCAAGTCTGCATTTGTGTATGACACATATATAGTGACTTTTTGGTTACTAAACCAAGCCAGAGCATTTATCTACTGAAATACGCATTATTGAATTGCAAATTATTTCAAAAGGTATTTATCTTTCAAATTAAGACATTAAAAAAAAATTTTATCGTGTGTGGATATCATGATCTGTAAATTCATTTAACATCAGTGGTTAAACAGTTTTTAAAGATGCTCATAAAAGTGACTTTTCTTTAGCTAAGACATTACATGTAAGTTTCACTAAGGGTTATCAGTTTAAAATCAGTAGTTTCTGGAAGAGGCCTGTATTGACGTGCGCAGAAACGAGTTTATCTGATTACTCTTCAATGATCACAGAGGCACCATAGCATAGCCCTGGCTTCTTTTCCATTAGAGTAATACATTTATTCATTTCTACAGATAACTTTCTGTTACTAACATCACAACGAATATGTTTAAATTTGATTAAGTTGCATTGAAAGGAATATTCTCAATTTCCAAATCACTACCATGTACAGAGTTAAAATGGCCAACCACTTGGAACTTTGTTTATACTGTTTCAAGAAGGGTTACTATTTGCTTCTAGAATATTATTCCGTGTTCTGCTTTGACACACTACAAAAGGATACGTGGCATCTCCATTTTCAAATCCCTTGCCATCTGGATTTAAGAGAGTGGGTTGTGGAAAACTGAGTCAGGGACCCAGGGCTTAGCTTGAGTCTCATCCTTTAATTATTTAGTATCAAAATGGGGTTAATTTTGGTTTTCTACTCATCTATATTCTAAGTATTTAGTGAAATTAAATTTAGAAACAACAGTATTATAAATACAAAATTAAATGATGACATTCATAATAGATAAAACACGGGCCTATAGACCATTCCTTTTTTCAAAAACCAAGAGTTGTAGTTTCTAGGTAGCTATTTACTTTAAAAATTCTTCAGCATTAGCAGTGTGAAATGTGTGAGTGAACTCCATCATACATCCTAGAGACATGTAGTTAGCATTTGAAGTATTCTCATCAGGAATCCACTTCCCAAATGGCTGTTCAATCATTTCAATGATCTTTAGCAAAATTTACACCAGAAGGTTCATTAAATTGCATAAAGCGTATTAGGAATGATTTTCCATTTATGAAATGAATCGTAGTCTAGATAAGTGGTTAGCTAGAAAGACTCTGGCTCTATCATCTTTGTAGGAAGGTGGTGCTAAGAATCTATTAAACCCAGCACTGTTCAAAGCCTTTCCTAAAGTCCTGTATGTCCTTTGTCCGCCTACTTCACAGACCTGAGCCTGCGTTATCTGGTTTGGTTATTGGGGTACTGTTGTATCTACCTAAGAATGAAATTTATACTCAGGTTTCTTTCAAACTTTCATTTCGATATTGTGGGTCTTAAGAAAAGAAAGGGTGAATTCTCTGGCATTACGGGAAGCATATGTGTAGTCCCTGGCTAATAAGTGCTGTATGTTTAGAAGAATTTGGGCTAAGATTCACTTTCATACCATCTGGTTGCAAGGTTACCAGGGAGGAGACCTATGGCCTTTACCTTCCTCTTCTAATTGCTGGAGAACACTGATATTTACTAAGAGACTGGACATTTGATGAAAAGTTACATTGACTTAGGTCAATTTCTAATCCATTTAAGAAATTTGAAAGTCATGCAGCAAATTTTAACATAGAAAACAACTAATCATACTACTATAATTCTAATATAATCATTCATAACATTTTGGGAGATTTCATTCTTTTTCATGTGCATATTTGAAATTTATATGTACAACTTTATATCCTAATTATTAAATTTAGGTCAGGGGTCATGAACTGAATCAAGGTCTCCAAGGGTCAACTGGGTGGGGACTGTGAATCAAAGGGGTTTATTATGTGTTCCTTGCCTAGAGGGAACAGTTACTACTCAGCTCCAAATGATTGTTGGAATGCAAATGGGCTCAGTTTTGCTAGTTATTCTGATTTTTTTGAGAAGAGCCAAACAAACATGATTTTTATGTAAATTTTATCAATTTTAAAATGTTGGTTACTACATTAAAAAATTTTAAAACATTGTGTAAGCCAAAGATTTATACATGAGCTGATAGTTTACCACATTTCACTGGTCATAAACATTTTTTTGTTACTAAATAGCCTCTGAGAGCGTCATTTTTTTAAAAGATTTTTTAAAATTTATTCATTTGAGACAGAGAGATACAGAGAGAGAGAGAGAGAGAGCATGAGCAGGCGGAGGTGCAGAGGGAGAGGGAGAAGCAGGCTCCCCGCCGAGCAGGGAGCCCGATGCAGAGCTCCATCCCAGGACCCTGGGATCATGACCTGAATTGAAGACAGAGGCTTAACCATCTGAGCCACCCAGGCACCCTGAGAGCATCATTTTTATAAAGCCGTCTAATAGTACATTGTGTAGATGTAATACATTTTATCATCTTTCATCTATTTTTGGACATTTAGAGGTTGTTTCCACTTTTTCTCTGCAATGAACATCTTCATGCATATTGCTTTGTTCTGTGTTGTTCGTAGAATT